GATTACAGATGTGAACTACCATACCTGGCTAATTTTTTTTTTTTTTTTGAGACTGAGTCTTGATCCATCGCCCAGGCTGCAGTACAGTGGTGCGATCTCTGCTCACTGCAACCTCTGCCTCCTGGGTTCAAGTGATTCTCCTGCCTCAACCTCCCGAGTAGCTGAGATTACAGGCCCCCACCACCATGCCCAGCTAATTTTGTATTTTTAGTAGAGATGGGATTTCACCATGTTGGCCAGGCTGGTCTGAAACTCCTGACTTCAAGTGATCCACCCACCTCAGCCTCCCAAAGTGCTGAGATTCGAGGTGTGAGCCACTGCACCTGGCCTTCCAGTGGCTTTTGATACAATTAAGATTACAGAAACAGGATGTATTTGCTTGAATTTGAGGTTTTTTTTTTTTTTTGAGACAGAGTTTCACTCTTGTTGCCCAGGTTGGAATGCAGTGGCGTGATCTTGGCTCAGTGTAGCCTCCACCTCCCAGCTTTCAGCGATTCTCCTGCCTCAGCCTCCTGAGTAGCTGGGATTACAGGTGCCCACCACGACACCTGGCTAATTTTGTAGTTTTAGTAGAGACAGGATTTCACTATGTTGACTGGGCTGGTCTCGAACTCCTGACCTCAAGTGACCCACCCGCCTCGGCCTCCCAAGTTCTGGGATTACAGGCGTGGGTCACTGCACCTGGCCTGAATTTTGTGTATTTTAAATACATCTAGTTTTGAATGTAGTTTCTCAAACAGTAATTATAATTAAAGACAGCAGCAGCCATTGCCTTTCTCTCTGCAGCTTTACTGATAGGCATGCAGTGTGGCAATGTTGGGCACACTGTAATAAAGTGAAAGGAACCTAGAGAAGGCTTTCTGGAGGAATAACCATTAAACTGAAACCTGAGAACATGAATTAAAATTAAGTCATTCGTAACTGTTGGATTAAGAGGTGGGGAAAGAAGGAGACAGCATCAGCAAAGGCCCAGAGACCTGTGAGAGCACTGCGATTTTGAGACTGAAGACCACTGGGCAGAAGCTGTGTGGGTAGAGGTGGTTGGAGGGAGGTAGTAGGTGGTCAGAGAGAAGGCAAGAGGTGAGCAATCAAAAGAACCCTTAAACATTTTAGATTTTTATCCTAAGCGCAAAAGGGATAGGTGTAGTGTCTTAAAAGGTCCTGGGTAGGTGAAGACTCACATGGTCAAATTCAGAAAGCTCACACTCCCTGCATTGTGGGTTGGAGAGGAAACAAGTTAGGAGGCAGGGAGACTATGTGGAGGTTGGTGTAGGAATCCAGACCAGGTAGTAGCAATGGTACAGAGAGGAGTAGCCTGAGATACTTAGGTATACTCTTTAGGTACAAAATCCATAATGGACATGAGAAAAGGCAAGGATGACATTTTATTTTTCTTGATGGTGACATTGTGGAGTGTAGGATCTTGAGAGAGCCACTGCTCTAAAAATGCCCTTCTAGCTTAGAGACTTTGTACTGTGTTCTTCTTTTCTTTGTTCTTTTTCTTTTCTTCTTTTCATTGTTCCTTTCTTTTCACCCATCAGGAAGCAATGTTACACCATGGTCCCAGATAAATACATATTTTCTTTGAATTTTCTATCACCCTATGGAAAAAGTTTATTTTTTAAAATGTTTGTATGTGTGTATGTATGTATGTATTTTGAGACAGAGTCTTGCTGTGTCCCTCAGTCTGGAGTGCAGTGGTGCAATCTCGGCTCGCTGCAGCCTCCACTTCTCAGGTTCACGCTATTCTCCGGCCTCACTCTCCTAAGTAGATGGTGTTACAGGCGCCTGCCACACATCTGGCTAATTTTTGTATTTTTAGTGGAAACGGGGTTTCATCACGTTGGCCAGGCTGGTCTCAAACTGCTGACCTCAGGTGATCCCCCCACCTTGGCCTTCCAAAGTGCTGGGATTACAGGCATGAGCCACCGCGCCTAGCCTATTGTTTTATTTATTATTATTATTTATTATTATTATTATTTTGAGACAGAATGTAGCTTCGTTGCACAGGCTGGAGTACAGTGGCACGATCTCAGCTCACTGCAACCTCCGCCTCCCAGGTTCAGGAGATTCTCCTGCCTCAGCCTTCCGAGTAGCTGGGATTACAGGTGCCCACCACCTCGCCCGGCTAGTTTTTTGTATTTTTAGTAGAAATGGGGTTTCACCATGTTGGCTAGGCTGGTCTCAAGTGATCTGCCTGCTTTGCCCTCCCAAAGTGCTGGGATTACAGGTGTGAGCCACTGCGCCCAGCCTGTTTTATTTTTTAAATGTCCAGTCAGAAAAGGCTTTACCTGCCTTCTCTGACCAGAGTTTACTCTCCAGCTTTTTGCATTCACAGTGTTAAGATTTAGGGTTTCAACTAATGAGATAGTTCACAAGGCTCATTACATGCATTAGTTTATTATTTTGCCAAGGCATGGCTTTAAATGATGCTTGCTTTATCCTTTCTCTTAGGCTGGGGTGTGGGAACTGGTAACTTGGCCCTGCCCTCCACAGCATATGCTCTTCAACCTACTCTATTCTCTACTCCCGAATCAGCAATTCTTATCATCATTAGGGTTCTGAAGGGATCATGTAAAATTTTCGGTTATACTTAAGTGCGTTTTGTGGAGGAAATTTTGGGCTATAGCAATATTCTTTAATTTGTGATTTTGTAAAGGTTTCTTATTTCTTCCTTGCCTCTTGTGCTTTCCCAGCATGGTGTTTGCTGTGACATCTGATGCTCTGCTTGTGAAACCCCAGTCTTCGTTCAGTCCTTTTTTCCTCAACTACTGAATCATTTTGGGCATTTGTGTGTGTGTGTGTGTGTGTGTGTGAGTGTGTGTGTGGTTTGTAGTCTCAGTCCTTCAAAGTGTTCACCAGTCGAATGGAATAGTAAACTGAGTTCTGTTGCTTCCGCCCCCACACCCCACAGATTACTAGCATGCTTTTGTTTGTTCATAGGATCAATTTTATTGTCATCTTCTCTCTTAAGGTAATAGACATAATAGCAAAAAATGTGGAGGGATTATCACTTTAGTTTGTATACCTAAGTCCTCTCAAATAAAATAAGCAGAATGAGCTATTGTTCCTTTTTGCCCATTCCTTCTTAAAAGGGACAGTAGTTTCCTCTCCTAGTTTCTTCTCGCTTGATTTGGCCACCTCTACATGGGGCCTTAGAGGAGTTTGTGTGTTATGGAAAGATTTGTATACTATTCCATATCTCTGTCACCATTTAAAATGGATTTGGGGTAAAAAAAATTAGCCGGGCGTGGCAGCAGGCGCCTGTAGTCCCAGCTACTCCGGAGGCTGAGGCAGGAGAATGGCGTGAACCCGGGAGGCAGAGCTTGCAGTGAGCCACTGCACTCTAGCCTGGGCGACAGAGCAAGACGAGACTCCATCTCTAAATGAATGAATGAATGAGTGAATGAATGAATGAATGAATGAATGAATAAATAAATAATAAATAAAATAAATGGATTTTGGGGAGGGAGAATGGGTGTGATTCTGCACTATAATATGAGGCATTACCTGGCTAAGCCCTTAGGGAAGGATCACAATCCCCCGAGGCTACAGATTTGTTCTCATTATTATTACCTGTATCTCATTCGTTATTAAAGAATGAATCTTTGGGGCTAGACTTGGTGGCTCACGCCTGTAATCCCAGCACTTTGGGAGGCTGAGGTGGGTGGATCACTTGAGGTCAGGAGTTTGAGACCAGTCTGGCCAACATGGTGAAACCCCATTTCTACTAAGAATACAAAAATTAGCTGGGCGTGGTAGTAGGCACCTATAATCCCAGCTACTCAGGAGGCTGAAACAGGAGAATCGCTTGAACCTGGGAGGCAGAGGTTGCAGTAAGCCAGGATTATGCCACTGCACTCCAGCCTGGGCGACAAAAGTGAGGCTTCATCTCAAAAAAAAAAAAAAAAAGAGAGAGAGAAAGAATTAATCTTCTTTAATAATCTCACCTTTTAGGATATAAAGATTCCTTTTGCTCCTCCAACTCTCAGCTCCCAGGCTCTCTGGAGATGCTAGGAGAGAGCTTTCTGTGTCTCCTTGAGAGAGGCCGCCAGTTGGAGCCCTTAAGAGGGGCAGGAAGCCCAGCACTGATTGATACGACCCTTATACCAGCTCTAAATCCAACACATCAGGCAACTGCAGTGTCTGGAACCATTTTATTCCTTGTAGTGCATAATATCAGGTGGAGGAATCACCGACCCTTTAGTGATTCTGAAGTTTCCAAGAATAATATGCTTAAGGCTTTAATTCTATTTTTATTTATTCCCATGTTTTATTCACACTTTGGGAAGTAAGCAAGAAAATATTGGCCGGGAGTGGTGGCTCACGCCTGTAATCCCAGCACTTTGGGAGGCCAAGGTGGGCGGATCACGAGGTCAGGAGATCCAGACCATCCTGGCTAACACGGTGAAATCCTATCTCTACTAAAAATACAAAAACTTAGCTGGGCATGGTGACAGGCGCCTTTAGTCCCAGCCACTCGGGAGGCTGAGGCAGGAGAATGGCGTGAACCTGGGAAGTAGAGTTTGCAGTGAGCCAAGGTCGCGCCACTGCACTCCAGCCTGGGCGACAGAGCAAAACTCTGTCTCAGAAAAAAAAAAAAAAAAAAGGAAAAGAAAATATTTTATCACTTCTGTTCTCCTATTCAGATACCATTCCTTTAACAGATTTTTTTTTTTTTCCTTAGAGAGAGGAGAGACCCTTGGAGGTAAAATTGTAAGAGGAGCTCTTAAGTGGTCAGCCTATTGTCACTTGAATCCTTTGGCAGTGCCTGGAAGGAAGGGTTCAGATGGGTAACAGGGACCAAGGATTGCCTGTTGCCTTTTTTTTTTTTTTTAATTTTTGTGAGTACGTAGCAGGTGTATATATTTATGGAGTACATGAGATGTTTTGATACATGCATACAATGTGTAATAATCACATTATGGAAGATAGGGTATCCATCCCCTCAAGCATTTACTGTTTATGTTGCAAACAATCCAATTATATTCTTTTAGTTATAAAAGCTATAGTTCGATGCTTCAAAGTAGGTGGCTATGCCTTAACTGTATGTATATTGTCAGGGCGAGGGCCTCTTTCATTCTTGTCAAGGACATTGCAATCTTTGCTGTGTCTCCCCTCTCCTCCACTGCCCTTCCCTCCCCTCCCCTCCCCTCCCCTCCTTTCCCGTCCCCTCCCCTCCCCTCCCCTTCCTTCTCCTCCCCCCTCTTCTTTTTTTTTTTTTTTTTTTAATTTGATTGAGTCGGAGTCCTGCTCTGTTGCCCAGGCTAGAGTGCGGTGGCGCAATCTCGGTTCATTACAACCTCGGCCTCTGGGTTTAAGCAGTTCTCTGCCTCCTGCCTCCCGAGTAGCTGGGATTACAGGTGCCTGCCACCACGCCTGGCTAATTTTTATATTTTTAGTAAAGATGAGTTTGACCATCTTGGCCAGGCTGGTCACGAACTCCTGACCTCGTGATCCACCCGCCTCGGGCTCCCAGAGTGCTGGGATTACAGGTGTGAGCCACTGTGCCCGGCCTACCTTCTCTCCTTTTATACAGCACTCTTGAATGAGCTGCAGCCACTTTCAGGTAGGACCTAGCTCTCTCTATATTCTCTGGTCCCTGGGCAGTAGAGCTTCCCATCCTTAATGTGTGGTGATGGCTACGTATAAGATTGCTTCTGGAATTCTGGGAGATGGAAGGAATGAGGGAAATCGAACTAAATATGTGATTCACCATTTATGTTTGGCATAAGGACTTTGGTTAAAGACAGATAAAATTAGTGGATCTTTTCTCATAGCTGATGGAATAATGCAGTTGAGTGATTGGAGAAAGTGGGGGAGTACTTTTAAAAATCAGCTCAAGGCCAGGTACAGTGGCTCACGCCTATAATCGCAGCACTTTGGAGGCCAAGGCAGGCGGATCACCTGAGGTCAGAAGTTTAAGACCAGCCTGGCCAACATGGCGAAACCCCATCTCTACTAAAAAAACAAAAATTAGCCGGGCATGGTGGATACTTGTAATCCCAGCTACTTGGGAAGCTGAGCAGGAGAATCACTTGAACCCAGAAGGCGGAGGTTGTGGTGAGCCGAGATTGCACCACTGCACTCCAGCCTGGGCGACAGAGCAAGACTCGGTCTCAAAACCAAACCAAACAAACAAACAAAAAAATAGAATCAGCTCAAATTTCTGAGGCAGTGATGCAGTGATGTTAGCTTTGGATATGTGAGATAACAGTGTTTTACATATTTTTAAGTGTTCTTTTTGTATTCTAGATATACTAATCCTTTGTTACTTATATTGTTAGTAATAGCTAGTCTGTGGCTTATCTTTTAACTTAGTTCATGATGGTCTTTGTTGTAAAAAAAACCAAACAAACTAATTTTATTGTAGTCAGTTTAAGCAGTCTTTTCCCTTGTTTCATAGTCATTTATTTCATGAGTGAAAAAATAAGAGGACATAGGAGAGGCATACTTTAAAGATTGGAATATGATTTTCATCAGTGTTTTTAGCTTTAATTTGGATTTTAAAATTTTGGACTTTTTGAAATTTTTCTTGATACTACCCTGTCTATAAGATTTTAGTAGAACCGGGCATGTACTTTATTTTATTTATTAATTATTATTATTATTATTTTTGAGACGAGTCTCGCTCTGTTGCCCAGACTAGAGTTCAGTGGCACAATCTCGGCTCACTGCAAGCCCTGCCTCCCGGGTTCACATAACGCCATTCTCCTGCCTCAGCCTCCCGAGTAGCTGGGACTACAGGCGCCCGCCACCATGCCTGGCTAATTTTTAAATATTTTTAGTAGAGATGGGGTTTCACCATGTTAGCCAGGATGGTCTCCATCTTCTGACCCCGTGATCCGCCCACCTTGGCCTCCCAAAGTGCTGGGATTACAGGCGTGAGCCTGGCCGCAGGCATATACGTTATATGTTTTCATAACTCCGTGTTATTCAGAAATTAAACTAGAACACTTCACGTTATCATACTTAGTCTTTCTTCTTTTACTTCTAGCTGAGACGTTCCCACTTTGTGGCTGGTTTGCTGAGAACATGGTAATTCTTGCCTATGGTTGCAGTGGTGGCCAAAAATCATCATGATGCTAAGCAGAGTCAAAATTAATTCTGTCTTCAGCACAGGGATAGAATTTAAGATGGTTAAAAAGGCATGTAGGCTGGGCGTGGTGGCTCACGCCTATAATCCCAGCACTTTGGGAGGCCGAGGCAGGCGGATCATGAGATCGGGAGTTCGAGACCAGCCTGGCCAACATGGCGAAACCCCGTCTCTAGTAGAAATACAAAAATTAGCTGGACGTGGTGACGCGCACCTGTAGTCCTAGCTACTGGATGCTGAGGCAGGAGAATTGCTTGAACCTGGGAGGCGGAGGTTGCAGTGAGCTGAGATCATGCCACTGCACTCCAACCTGGGCAATAGAGTGAGACTCTGTCTAAAAAAAAAAAAAAGGCATGTAGTTGTGTTTAAGATTGATTGTTTCGTTACTAATGTTTTAGCCTTAATTCTGCTAAAGCAGTGATTCGCAACTGGGGGAGTGATTTGGCCCTGAAGGGGACATTTGACAATGTCTGGAGATATTTTTGGTTGTTATAATCAGGATGCTGCTACTGGAATCTAGTGGATAGAGGTCAGGGATGCTGCTAAACGTCCTACAGCACACAGGATAGCTTCTCCCACCACAGCGTTATCTAATCCCAAATGTTAGTAGTGCTAAGGTTGAGAAACCCTGTGTAGCCTTGCTATCTTTTAAAAATGGTCTGTAGTTGTTCCCATCCCTTGTGAGAGCTGAGTGGGAAGGCTGGCCATTTCATTTCTTCATTTTTTTTTCTTTTTTTCTCTCTCTCTCTAGAAAAAGAGTTTTGCTCTGTTGCCCAAGCTGGAGGGCAGTGGAATGATCTTAGTTCCCTGTAACCTAGATGTCTTGGCTTCCAGCAATCCTCTCATGTCAGCCTCTCAAGTAGCTAGGACTACAGGCATGTGCCACCTTGCCCGGCTAATTTTTTAATATTTTTTGTAGATACGGGCTTTTGCTGTGTTCCTCAGCCTGGTCTCAAACTCCTGACCTCAAGCGATCCTTCTGCCTCAACCTCCCAAAGCGCTGGGATTACAAACATGAGCCACCACACCTGGCTTAGGTTGTTTCTTGAGCAGTCAGAATGATCTTGGTCCCCTTGCTCTCAGATCTCTTTTTTTTAGACAAGATCTTGCTCTGTTGCCCAAGTTGGAGTACAGTGGTGCAATTATAACTCACTGCAACCTTGAACTCCTTGGCTTAAGTGAACCTCCCATCTTGGCCTTCTAGTGGCCTTCTAGTGGCTGGGAATATAGACATGTGCCACCATATCAGGCTAATTTTTTATATTTTAGTAGAGACAAGGTATCATTATGTTGTCTGGGCTGGTCTTGAACTACTGGGCTCAAGCAATCTTCCTCTCTTAGCCTTCCAAAGTTCTGGGATTACAGGCGGGAGCCACTAGCGCCTGGCCTCTATTCCCATTTTTAAAGATTTATTTAGAATCCCCAGCTGCCTTTAATATTAATGCTATAATGATTTTTTTTTTTTTGTCCCAGGGTGTAACTATGATGAGAAATTTTTTTTTTCCCTAAAGCTGGCTTCATGACTATTTCAAAGGTGAATTAATTACATTTTGGTTTGCATGAGTTTTTAATTAGTTTTTTATTTTATTTTATTCTATTTTATTTTATTTTTTTGTGATGGAGTTTTGCTCTTGTTGCCCAGGCTGGAGTGCAATGGCGTGATCTTGGCTTATTGGCTTATTGCACCTCCTCGGTTCAAGCAATTCTCCTGCCTCAGCCTCCCAAGTAGCTGGGATTACAGGTGCCCATGACCATGCCTGGCTAATTTTTTGTATTTTTAGTAGAGATGGGGTTTCACCATGTTGGCCAGGCTGATCTTGAACTCCTGACCTCAGGTGATCCATCCGCCTTGGTCTCCCAAAGTACTGGAATTATAGGCATAAGCCACTGCGCCCGGCCGAGTTTTTAATTTATTTAGGCCTCTTGGCAAATATATTGCCTTTGTATAACGTGAAGAATTAGAGAATGTGTAGTCCACAGAGAATATCAACATGTGATTGCAGATGATAAATAAACATATTGAATAAGGACTGATATACGTCAGTGGATTTTTTATTCATACATATTTTACTCTAGTGGCAAAATTTTTAAAATTTAAAAATTTTAAAAACTCATTTAAAATTTAAAAATTTTAAAAACTCATTTAAAATTAATTATTGAATGCTTGTTATGTGACAGGCATTTTTGTCAGGCATAATGATACAATGGTGATTGAGATGGACATAATCCCTGCCCTCAAGGAGCTGCATTATAGAAGGGGAGACAGATGACAAGTTTGTTTTTTTTTTTTTTATTATACTTTAAGTTCTAGGGTACATGTGCATAATGTGCAGATTTGTTACATATGTATACTTGTGCCATGTTGGTGTGCTGCACCCATCAACTTGTCAGTACCCATCAACTTGGCATTTACATCAGGTATAACTCCCAATGCAATCCCTCCCCCTTCCCCCTTCCCGTGATAGGCCCCGGTGTGTGATGACAAGTTTTTAATCAAATTACTAAAATTGATAAGATCTTGGTAAGAACCATGTAGACAATAAAGGAGTGAGCCCAGCAGTAGGGAGGAAGGGCCTATTTCAGCTAGAGTGGTCAGGAGTCTTCTGAGGAGGCAGCATTTGTACTTGTCTTTTCAAAACAATCAATTTGGTTGTGGTTTTGTTCTTTTTTTAAACTTATGTCTGGTTTATAAAGAAAATTACAATGTTTTTGTTCTTAACATTATTTTTCATTTCTCTATTTTATTAATCTGCTTTTTGTTTTCTTCCTACTACTTTTCTGGGGTTTAATTTCTAGTTCTTTCTCTCTTTTTCAAAAAAAGGTTTTTTAAAATTGATGCATAATAGATGTTCATATTTGGGGGGCACGTGTGATAATTTTGTACATTCATATGTTTCAAGTTCAAATCAGTGTAATTGGGATATCCATAACCTTCAATATTTGTCTTTTCTTTATGCTAGAAACATTTAAATTATTCCCTTCTAGCTATTTTGAAATATACAGTAGAGTATTATATACTCATCCTACTGATCTGTC